ATCGGATTTGGCCGAGTGCTCTTCCCGTGAGATGTCTGGGTAGTTAAAGTCTCCCATGACAACCATACACTGAGAGTGTGCAGCCTCAGCCAGTTCCCTAGCGAATTCCTGGTCCAGCTCTTGTTTCTGGTTAGGAGGTCTGTAGTAGACTCCTACCATGATGTCCCCTGTGCCACATTCCCCACATATTTTAACCCAGAGAGACTCCAGAGACTTCCTGGGTGCCAATGTCAATTTGCAGGGGCGTGTAGCTGTCCTTGGCATAGAGAGCTACATCCCCACCCCTTTTATCTGCACGATCACACCTGTACAGTGTATAGCCATCTATAACTGTGACCCAGTCATAGGTGGAGTCCCACCAGGTCTCCATTATTCCTATGATGATAGTCATTTTTGTTTAGCAGGAGGATCAGTTCCTCCTGTTTATTCCCCAAGCTCCTGGCATTGGTGTACAGGCAGGCAAGTGTCCCATTGAGGGCCCTTGCCTTCCCCACAGATCGCTCCAGGGCTAGGGTAGGGATGGGTTCCCTTGAGTGCCTTAGCCTGCTGGATCTACAAGTGTTGCCTAGTGGACTTGCAGTGGCGGTAATCCCCCCAACCCCTCTGGCTCCTACAGTCTGATTGCCCTTCTGGGTCAGATCCTGGACTTTATGAGTGTCCTTTTGGATCATCTTACCCTCTGCTTCTGCCCCAAGCCTGCCATTTGCTATCTGCATCTGGGATTGGTAGCTATTTTACTTAAGGCTCCCTTTGACAATATGATCTTGTTTAGAGGAGCAGGGCTGACCTGCAGGCCCTAGGCTCCATCCATCCTTCAGTAACAGGGCAGGGACCCTGGTACTGGGACATTCTCAAGCCAAAAGTCCAAGTGCATAGGTATATCCAAAGAGTTAGTGTCCCATGCCCATGCCCTGCCCTACCAAACAAAAGCAGGAAGCTGAAGAAGGAGAAATGATGGGCCACTCCTGGTGGTCACTCTCTTGAGACCTAGGTGATAAGATGGATCTGATCCCTCTAATATTTGTTAGACTAAGGTTTTTCCTCAACTGTCTACTCCTTTGCTAAGGTCCTGAGACAAAAGGTCTTTTCTGAACTGTTGGGAGATACTTCCTTCTCTGGGAGTACCTTAAACAAGACATACTCTTTTTGTTCATCTATTTTTGCTTCTTCTGCTTTGTCCCTTTACAAGAATATAATATAGATTTCCTTACTGTAACTTCTCAAAGCTGTGGCTGTCTTTTTACGTGCTTATAAAGCATCACAGTTCTATTATAAATAATTAACAATTATTATATTCAAATCCAGAGCAACCATGGTCTCTTT